TCTACGGTGCGAGGACGCACCTTCCGGGAGGGGGCGTAGTGTCAGGATCATGGACTGTCTGTGTCATGTTTTGCTCCTGTTTCTGTTTCTTTATTTGGTCCTTCCTGTTTCCATTAGGCTCCCTGATTAGTTCATAATTTGTTTCCAGCTGTGTTTAGTTAATTATCCTCATTTTTATTAATTAGAATGAGTTATAGTTTGATCATTTTAATTTTTTTTCTATTTTAGTTTTAGTTATGGTAGTATAGCATGTTAAACTAAATGCAAATGAGAAATACTGCATTGTCAACAAAATAAAAAAAATAGATTTAAGTTTTTTCATATTTTATTTCAGATCATGCTTATTTCATTTCAATTAACAAAACTGTTTTCTATGTTGTTAGTTTCAGATAACAACAATAACCATGTGCAAAACTAAAGTGCAATTAGAGGAAACCAGCTAAAACTAAATTAGAAAGTAATTGAAAAGAGCAATACAAACTATTTTAAGAGTTCAACACTGTAATAACACATTCACTCACAGCCTCCAGCAGTTTAGAGCTGCTCTCCAGGTTCTGCTGAGCCTTCTTAACCTCACAGAGATGCTGCAACAGAGAGAAGCACACTGTGAAGATGTCCTGCGGGTGAGGTTTATCAGTGCTCGGTCTCTGGCTCACGTTCTTGCGCTCCTGTCGCAGCTCCTGCAGGTTTCTGCTGAGCTCCACACAGATGCTCAGCGTCATGCTCTCGGAGAGCTGCTCTCTCTGAGCCGCGTAATCGTTCAGCTGATTCAGCACGTCCTGAAACGCCTGCTGATTGCTCGGCCTGCAGAAACACAGTCAACAACACGCCGCGTTAAGGGCTGAGAGACACACGCATGATGTGAGAACACCAGCTAATAAACATCTGAATTCAGCTCGAAGCGTTGGAGAAGCAGCGCTGCAGACAGACAGCAGTGAGGCTCAACATCAGAGTTTAATGCCTGATCGACTCACTTTGTGTCCTGATCTTCTTTGACGCCTCGTCTGGAATATTTCTTAGACAAAGTCCTTTAGGGAAACACGCACAAAACAGGTTAAACCCTGAGCACCAGGGGCCTTCAAAAACACAAGATCAACAACACTAGAACAATTCACTGTGTACATGAGAAAAACTAAATATAATAATATATAATAATGACAGGCTGCTGTCACACTTGCATGATAATATGACAAGCTTTCTGCCGATTTGACAAACAAGATGATGGAAAGTGAAGGGATTGAGGCGATGATGTTGTGTTCGGTGTTGTGCCCTAATTAATATTCATGAGACAATGTGAGTCTATAGAAAAGCTTACAGAAAAAATTTTTAAAAATAAATAATATGATTAAACAAAAAAATGTATTATAAAAATAAATTATTAAAACTATTAAAATAAATAAAAATAAAAATATATTGGAATAAATAAAATTGATGTAAAATAAATAATAAATCTAACACTACAGCACAATAGTGAGTAGAAAAGGCTAAATATATTTTATACATATAATATTATTTTTTCTACAGTATTAACTGGGTCTTTATTTATGAAAATACATTGTTCCCATTCAAATTTCAGGATGGGAGTCTCTCTCGAGTCATCACAAAGGCTGAAAACCCCTGATTGATGCAGTGCAAACCCAAACCAGAGTCTTGCCTGAGCTGTTTGGCGTAATTCTGCTCGATCTCGGCTCTCTCTTTGACAAACTTCACGTATCGCTCCAGCAGATCCAGTCCGCTCTGAGTGTGTCTATCGATCACGTCATGCTGGTCCTGCAAACACACGATACACAGATTTCTGAGTGTGTGTGTGTGTGTGTGTGTGTGTGTGAGTTTGAGTCTGTGTGTGAGTGTGTGTGTGTGTGTGTGTGTGTGAGTGAGTGAGTGTAAGTGAGTGTGTGTGTGTGTGTGTGTGTGTGTGGTGTGTGTGTGTGTGTGTGAGTGAGTGAAGTGTGTGTAGTGTGTGTGTGTGTGTGTGTGAGTGTGTGTGTGGTATGTAGGACAGTCAGGTCTCAGAATAGGTGTGTTAGGTGTGGTACATCGAGTGTGTCGCTCTTCTTCCCACGTGCAACTCTCAAACTAGCTTGACGGGTCGATCTACTTCACACTAGCGACAAGACGACCTGATGGGTCACATGACACATTTGGCTTCAGCAGAAATTCTTGCAACCACTATTGTTTTTAAAAACAGCTAACTATAAATATTGTAACCTAACTGTACTAAAATGGTTACGTAGGCACACACGCCACTGTATAGTAAGCTTAGTTGAGTCTGTATTTAAGCTCTTATTCATTAGACACGCATCTAATTTAACAGGAAGGTGTGTGAGCTCACTGATCTACTTCCTGTTGGTCCAGAAATCATTCCAAAGCAATGGAGAGCAGAAATAGTTTGTCTGGTCTTTACTGCTGTTCAGAGATGATCAGACACCAGTGGTGCCTAAACCAGTTTAACCTGCACTAGTACAACCCCAGACAGAGAAAGGACATCTCAGTGAAACTGTCACGTGACCTAAAGAATAAATAATAGTATAAATATAGGTAAACATAAACAAAATCAGTGTGGAGACATTTTTTAATTTCTTCATAGACGTTTAAAATAAGAAATGCGTTCTGTAGCCTACTTTTTTAAAACGCAAACATAATTTATATCACTTTATAATTATCTTTTTATTTAAATTGTGACTTAGTTTCAATATCACTAGCACACTTTCTGGATCACAATGGTTGGATTTACATAAATTATCAACATAAAAACACGTGCTTTGCTTTTTTAATTTCAAATAAATTGTTCACGAGTTCACCTGCGCATTGTTTCACCGTTGTCTACAGTTTTTGAAATGTACATTCATTATAAATGTATGCGCTTATGCAATTAATAGTTATAACATCATTTCGGACAAGTAAACTATACTTTTTAAATAATAAAAAAAAGGTTAGGCTAATCATGACTGCCCTTCACTTCAAAAGATTTCAGCGTAATAATCTCCAAAGTCTGAAGCGCATGAAAACCACGCAAGTAAAGAATAAACTCACCCAAAGATCTGAACCCCAATCCATGATCTCTGACAGGTCCGAAAGAAAGAAAGCAAGCCACTGCAGCCTGTCCCAGAACGAGCGCGACACATGCAGCTCCTGAAGGAGGTTTGTGTGCACTCAGAGTGTTTCCATGAATATCAGGTAACCCCGTGTCTTTGTGATTTCCCCGCGAGACCCGGCTCTCTCGCGCTCAGCGGGTGAATGAGTCACTGTGGGGGGATCTTCACCGCAGCACACCTGAGTTCACAGGTAACGTGACCTCTGATTCTGCTTCTGAACCACTGCTCGTTTCCATTGGACTTCTGACATATAATGCAATGTCAAACTTCATTAAGAAAAAAAAAAAAACACCGGCAAAATGGAAGATATTTATGATCGCATGATGACAGAGGCGTTTGTGATCAGTAATAGCACACTGACATCTACTGGATCAAAAATGTTCATACAAACGGCTACTAGTACCACTGAACCTCAGCCGTTTGTCTTTGCCATATCAGTGTTTTTCAATGTATTGCATGTGCAAATGTTTTTTTTTTTTAACTGCAAATTTTTATTTGAAGTTTTTATCCAGACAAACGTAAGAATAACTTGTAAAATGTTTAAACTATTAGCTTAATAATTGCAATTAACAAAACACCTCTAAACAGCACGTGTGTTATCAGAACAATCATTCATTTACTTTTATTAATTCACTGAACAGTTAATTTACATGGGATTTTCAAATCGCATCTGCATGCAACAAATGAAAATAGAATATTCAGAGCAGTCGTTCATTTACTTAACATTGATTTACATGAAACCATCAAATTACGCTTTCATAGCAACTTCTCTCTTTCACAAATGTCCAAAGAATATTGGAGACATGTCTTGCATTAAATGTATTTCATGCACCTCCATTAACACTGGCTAAACTGGTCCCGCTGCAGTTTCACAGAAATAAATATTCATGACAGCACATATATGCTTCATATGACTGAGAGATAACGCGTTCTGTGTGTGTTTCCGCCTGACTGTTACAGAATGTTGCATGGATTTCCCCGCGATCATCATTCCTGCAATGATTGCATTTGCGCATACCATAGTGCAACCCAGCTTTTGTGGTTACCATGGTTCAACTATAGTAACCATGATTTCTTTTGGTTTTGTTTGTAGTAAAACCATGGTTAATTTTGGTAAGGGATCTCTAAGATGCTTCCTGTCAGATGTTACATAGACATTGAGGAAATGCCTTTAAGATGTTTATGGTTTAGAACGTTTGTACTGACTTTTTAAAGACATTTATCAGATGTTTGTTCACAGCTGATGCTTTCCAGAATCTTTGAGATCAGATGTACATGTGCTCTGGGTTCAGTTCAACTTTATTTTCACTATTTCTTGCAGAGTGTCTTGTAACAGTTGGGAAGGAATGTTGCACTTTCTCTCCAGCAGATGAAACAGATGGAGGAAATATTTCACGAGTACTAACAGACATGTGTATGGTGTGGGACAAGCTATGGAATGATGAACGGGAAAAATACAAGGGTCCAAAAGTTAATTTGGATTGGATTTCTGATTTCTTTCATGATACTTTTGTTTTTTTTTGTGGGACCAATAATTACGTATTTTATGCCTATTATACTTACTATAGGGTTTGTGATTCTATGTACTGCTAAATGTACTGATCTGATCGAGGTATAATGTTAAATACCGAGACTCGAACCCGCAACCTTTGGGTTACACGTCCAACTCCAACCATTAAGCCACGACGGCCCAGTAAGGCATCAGCAAGCTATTAGAGAAAGTCCATTAATACACATTTGAGTGATTCTAAAAACGTAAAGTTGATGAATAATGAAAACAATCAAATTGCTCAAAACATTCATGTACAAAATATTAAATAAACTATTATAAACTCCATCACTGAAAGCATCATGTGATTTCTTTTATTTATGCATCTGATTCCTCTGTCAGTGTTGCAGCAATAGGAAATTGTGAATTGCAAGTTGTAGTTTCTTTGTTAAAATTTGAAAGCGAAAGCATTGGCGGTGTCTTGTCACAGTCATTCTGTTAATGAATTTTCACATATTTCCAGGTTGCGAAGATGTCGGGTCAGATGTCTCACGCACCCTCAGAAGTGCACACTAAATCAGATCAGTGAGGAAGGGAACGGTGAGAAAATCACACCAAAACCTCAATGTAAGCTGATGCAGGCTGCATTATATAACACACATGCACAAGCTCATTTAGAATTCTTCAGATTATTAGAGATCATCAGTTTGTGAATGCAATCTTTATGGTTGAAAGATGATGATAAAATATGCTAATGTTCATTATTTGCAATGGAGAGAGAAATATGAAATTGACCAGCGAGTCCAATCAAAATCATTTGAGTGGTAATTTCATTTGAGCCCTGTTTTAAAGAATGGTGCAGAATCTTTCACAGAACCCCTTCTTCTTGGGTGAGGGTTCTTGCGCAGGCGTGTCGTCGTGTAACTGGATTATGGTGTCGTTGTTCTGTGCTGCAGGAGGCTCATTGTGTGCTGGTTCACTGGAGGATAGAGTGACCGCAGTGAGATCTGAACTGACTGTGTTGGTAGTTTGAGGTCTGTAATTAATGACAGGCATTGGTGGGACGTACTGTATGTATGAATAATAACCCATCTCCACCAGAAACGCATATAAACTCATCCTGATGATCATGAGAAGGCCTCTGGAGATCCGGTAAGTGGCGTCTGGATCGTAGTTGGATCGGTCGTGGTGTTGAGTCACATAAACCCGATGAAAGCACTCCTCATCGAGACTGACAATGATGCGATCCGTGTTGCTGTCGTGCTCCTCAGTGTATTTGTCTTCTGAGACGTAATCGGGAAGATCTTCAGCTCCTGGTGAATTTAGATTGCCAACCACATAGTAAGAGAAATCCTCGTCTGGAAGAAGTTTATTCCCATATTGGTCGTATCTGTTCTGAAAATAGTGAAACCCAAAATCTCCCTCGGCTGGGTCACATTCAGAGAGCATGCTGTGGTTTTCAAAAGAGACACATTCACTGGCAAACCAGTAGAGGAGTCTGAGTCCGTGTCTGGGCCGGGGTCGACCGAACCTCGTGTTACTCAGATGGACTAATTCATTTAACGTTCCCACCATGGTCCTGCACCTTCAGAAGAGAAATGAGCGTATAGGCGTTTATTAATAGATGCGGGATCACTCAGAGTTCTGTTGAAATATGTGACCCTGGAGCACAAAACCAGTCATGAGGGTCAATTTTTCGAAATTAAGATTTATACACTGTCTGAAAGCTGAATAAATGCGCTTTTCATTGATGTATGGTTTGTTAGGATAGGACAATATTTGGCTGAGATACAACTATTTGAAAATCTGGAATCTGAGGGTGCAAAAAAATCTAAATATTGAGAAAATCATCTTTAAAGTTGTTCAAATGAAGTTCTTAGCAATGCATATTACTAATCAAACATTAAGTTTTGATATATTTACGGTAGGAGATTTACAAAATATCTTCATGGAACATGATCTTTACTTAATATCCTAATGATTTTTGGCATAAAAGAAAAATGTATAATTTTGACCCATACAATGTATTGTTGGCTATTGCTACAAATATACCCCAGCGACTTAACACTGCTTTTGTGCTGCAGGGTCACATATGTTCTCTACATTTACTGTATATAGCCTGCTGAATATAACGGTATATAAAGCTATGCTTAAATTTATTTATTTATTGGTGATTGCAAACTTTTTTTTTTTTACCAGTATTCACTAAATACAATAAATGAAGCTCCTCTAGATGTTATAAAGCGCTGCTCTCTGATTGTCATTCTCTAACAGCAGCAGTCTTGCTCATTTTAATCACAGTCTTACTTTCTGTCCGTCACTGATTTCTGGTCTTTTTTCTGAAGGGTCAAATTACGCACATCCAAAAAAGTCTTGACCAGGTGCAAGATCAAAAGGTACATCAAATAATAGAGAAACGATCTGCACTGTTATTCTCCCTTTATTCAAAAAAGTTAAAAATAGCAACGTTTCGGTCAAAGACCTTTGTCAGGCAAACACAGGTGTGTTTGGTCTTTGTCCGAAACGTTGCTATGCCTGTTTTTTTATCATAAGTTGAGAATCTCTGGTTGTCAGAAATGTTCCACAAGCAACACATTCGCTTGACTGTGAGCATACAGCAGAAATGGAGCTCAAATCAGTAATACAAAGTTGTGTGTGTGTTGTATATTTATTAATTCAAGCAACATTTTTTTTTCTATCACTTTTGTTTAATAGAGAAATAATTCTTTCACGAGTGGGATAGATAGAAAGAAAGTGAGATCATACCTCTCTGAAAAGCGTCATATAAACCTTCTGTAGAAGCACAGATAAGCTGAAAGACTCGCTCACTATCTGACAAACACTAACACAGACGCTGGTGTGGGCGTGCTGTTTCTATGGAGAGTTCATTAACGTCACGCTTGGCTGCGATGGTTTCCAAACTGTTCCTGGAGCCTCCTATTGTTGCACATTTGAGATGTTCCTCATTCTGAACTCCTCAGCTGATCAGACCTGAGCTCAGGCTCCAGAAACTGCTTGAAAGCCTCTGGATTATGGACACAATACCTGTGTGTACTTTCATCTACTGGATCATGTGATGCAATAGTGATGTTTAACAAAAGTGGGTGTGGTTTAACTGGTTCAGGCAAAAAAAAAAAAAAAGATTTATGGAAATTCAGAAGTGGGAGGAGCTTCTGCTCAAGATAACAGTTCAGAGGAAGTGCAAAAAACATCTACAAGTATTGTTATTTAAGGTGACTTAGTAACTACTTTGAAGGAAAATTTGGAGTTTTGTTAGTAAGAACCAAGAATGGAAGCAATCGGCAGATTTCTTTGTGTAATAAACCATTTCTCATTTGAACTGATGCAAAATGTACATTATATATTTCATGTTTGAAAGCATACATTGAGCTGATTTGTAATCTTTGTTTTTAATTGCTGTGTTCAGAGTGTCCAGCAAATGCACTCATGAGCTCTGTTAAATTAGTATCTAACTCTGTCCTGAGAGAGCTGGACCTGAGTAACGATGACCTGACTGGATGCAGATACTCTTAGGCTGATAAATCAGAGGAATCATCAGGTAAGGAAGATGGTTGATGTTCAGTGGTGATTCCTTTAGTCAGGTGGTCTGATTACAATATCTCTTCATCCCAATAGAAAAAGAAATGACATACCTGTCGGGCAAAGCTCCTTCTCACACACAGGCTGACTCACCTGTCAGCATCACGAGACTGACTCCTGATCAGAGCCATGTGGGTTACGTCTGACGTGTGATGGACGTTTTTCTCACGCCTAATATACTGACGGATGAATCTATTGTAAAGCCTTTTAAAAAAAAATTTTTTTTTTTTTGCTATGATCCTGACTTTTTTTGTTTTATTATTTTCGCTTCTCACTCAACTTATTTAGCCAGTGCATTTACTCATTATATTTAACTTAAAATGACTTATGCCCTGTAAAAAAAAAAAATACATAAAAAAAGATTGTAATTTTAAAAGCTTTCTAACTTTTTCTCAAACAGTGTCTGTGTGTGTTAGTCATGCTGAAAGATATCTGGACAGGGAAGAAGGAGGACTTTGGACGCCTTGGTCGAGTTATGGAGATGACCTCACATGCTGATTATAAAAGACTAAGTTGATTGTTGATTCAAATTCTGATCCCATGGATCAGTCTCTCTGAGGCTGGACGCGCGAAGCTGATTACACCATAGATTTATTGTGCTTTATTCTTTAGTATAAGACATAATTCAATAGTTTTTATCTTATACTTGAACTTTAACTTCCCTTGACCTTTTTGGCTGAATTAAAAGGATTTGCAACAAAAAAACTGCCTGCCGAGGCGTTGGATTTAAACGTTTTAAGACCTTGAGCACGAACATAAAACTAGGACTGCAGATTCATCTGTGGTGAGTTTTTTTACTTGACTTCTTGTGTTAGATCTCTCTCTGTAACACTGCTTGTGGTGTTATAAAGCAGTGAGATCAGTGATGTGCAGTGAGCAGCTGTTTCCATGTGATGTGATAATTCTCAGATACTGACCTGTTTACATCCAAAAAACTTTTTAATTTTTAGTGTTTATGTTCAAATTTTGAATAACCAACTTTGTGAAACTGCAGCATGCAATGGAAGTGTTGCTCTAATAGTTATTGAATGAAACTTAAATCTATGTAATGCATATAAATATTTGAGCTCTTGTACTAGTTAGACACACACACACACAGACATCAAGAACCAGCTTATGAATCTCAACAACGCCCTGCCGAGGCGTTGGATTTAAACGTTTTAAGACCTTGAGCACGAACATAAAACTAGGACTGCAGATTCATCTGTGGTGAGTTTTTTTATTTTTAGATGCTTATAATTCAAGTGCATATTCAACTTACTTTGAAGATATGGTTAAAGGTGTTAAGATACACACCCCAAAACAACTTCTGACATTGGTTTCTAGTACAAAGGTTGCATATGTTTTACAGTCTTGCTTTGTCTAAAGTCCATGTGAAGTGACGGTCCACTGCATATAATTTACGATGCTGTGTTGCACTGGTGTTTGTTCTTTTACTCATGAGCAGAGGTGGACAATCCAGGGGTCAGAAAGTGCAATGCATGCTGGGTAACACCATAGTAAAAACTCCCATCTTGCACTGCAGTATGAATAATTATTATCACCACTGTTGAGGATCGTATGATAAGTGTTCAAGTCTAAAAGCCTGAGCGACATAGTTATTTTTTCCAATATTTAAGCATTACGGTGACATTTGTTTAATAGGACTTCATTGCAGTTCTGAAACAGCTGAATGTCAGTCAATAAACCAAAGAGAGACACCTTCATGATGTTCATTCAAGTGACTTACAAGCAGAAAGTGTAAGCTCATCTGTTACCGCAAGCTTTCAATTCAGCAATGCGCACATGCACAAATGTTTGTTGTAAAGCAATACTGCAATTACTTAAAAGCAAACCACTTTGAATTATTAAAAGGGTCAAGAGCCCAACTAAAGCAAACACTGATCTCCATGATGGTGGCATCATTTTAACCAATAAAACATCAGCATCTGATCCTCTGTAATTCTCAATAACAGCAGGTGTTCATCACTAATGCACAATCATCATTTAATTAGTCACTTAATTATCTCATTAACTTTAACTCTTTGAGGACTTGGGATATGACTCGAGACTCGTTTGTGATTTGAAAGGAATGACTTGGTTCCTCCTCTGCTGAAATCAGCTGCTGAGTTCATGGCTGGAATAAACATATGGCAGGACTTTTACTTTCTGACCCCTGGATTGTCCACCTCTGCTCATGAGTGCTGTTTAATGCTGAGTAGGGGCATCTGCAGGTTTCACGGGACAGAAGGGAGTTTTGTTTTTCTAAAAACAAATGCTTGCATTAAAAAAAGTCCTTTCCGTTCCAGTATGATTCTGTCTCGCTTCAGCATCATTGACATTTTGTCTATTTTGTTGTTGCGTTTGTCGCAGAAGGAAGGTGCTTTTCCTTGCTGTCACAAACAACTGAAAAATATTGTTTTACGGAAGTCCCATGTCTCATTTCTTCCTTCCAGTACTCAGCAATTCAAAAGCTCAGACCTAATGATCTTTAAGAGCAACCGTAATAACGAGTGTACAACTGATGTACACCCAACAGCTAGCGAATACCCACAATGCACTGTGAGGGTCGTGCCAAATGAATTCCCGTGTCTCGCCAGAAGATGGCGCCTGCAGCTGAATCATCCATCCATTTTCCAAACCACTGGTCCAATGTGGCTACAGCGTAATATCTTACAGGTATAAATTCCTTTTTAATTGATTATTAAATTGTTTAATTAAAGTTTATACATTATGGTTTCCTTGATAGTGTTCAAGATAAATCTTTTAATCTTACTGCTGGGACAACCAGTTTGCTAAGTTTCAAATTATTAAACAGCATTAAGCACAAACTATGCAAAAGCGGCAGCCCTTGCTGCACACTCTGTGTCTGAATTCACTCAATGTACCGCAGGGACTCATGTTAAGTGTTCATAAGGAGCAAGTTGCAGCTGGCAGTCACTGCATGTGAAGCTGGTCTTTAGTAATCTTGAAGCAGAACATGTAACTCTGAAACATTAGTTTCACTGCTCTGTCACTCATGGCCTGATCTCATCGCAGCAAACATTTGTGACCCTGAACCACAAAACCACTCATGAGGGTAAATTTTTAGAAATTGAGATGTATGCATCAGCTGAAAGCTGAATAAATGCGCTTTCCATTGATGTATGGTTTGTTAGGATAGGACAATATTTGGCTGAGATACAACTACAATTTTTACAAATGACGAAGCGATATCGTCCTCTTTTGAAAGACCAAAAAAGTAGTTTCGCTTCCACAACGAAAAACACAGCGGCCTAGCTTGAGCGAAAGCCCCGGCTTAGCGTGCGCTGAGGCCGGGCAAGAGTGAGCTGAGGCGGCGGGATCGAGAACGGCGGTCCCGGCGAAGGAGCGGTGATTTGAGACTTTAGTCTTTGCAACTTTACAGATCTTCTTTATGCACCAAGAGCTTGTAACACTCCAAAGAGAAAAGAAAAATTGAAATCGCATCATATGACCCCTTTAAGACTGCTTTTGTGCTCCAGGGACACATTTTAGAATCTAAATAACATTTGTGCACAAATCCACATGCTAAGAGTGAAACAACTTCAGATCTTGTTCTTGTCCCGCAGAAGTGAATCACTGAAGGACGATGGCATCTGTAAAAGAGCTGCTGGTGAACTCACTGAAGGATCTAGTAAAAGCTGATCTGAGGGAGTTTCAGTGGCACTTGAAGAATCATGAGTGTGTTTCAGCTTCTGCGATGGACAAAGCAGATGTCTTAGACACAGTGGATAAGATGGTGGCATGTTTTAGAGCAGAAGAAGCTGTGAAGATCACGGTGGACATCCTGAAGAAGATGAACCAGAACCTTCTGGCTGAAGAGTTAGAGAACGAACACAAGCAAGGTGACTAAAAGTCCAATTATATGTTTGATCATCAACAGAGTGGCTTTGGACGTGTAAAGAATGAAGCAATAGTTGAGTTTCAGCTTAAACGTTCCTCTTTGCTTTGTCAATGCGTTTGAGTGATTTATGTCACTGCATTGTCATTTTGTTTAATCTCTCTCGAACAGTTCAAGCTCAGGGCAATATAGAGGGTTCTGCCACCGTTGGAGCTGCTTCAGAACAGATCAGGGGTAAATAATGATCACTTTCTATACATGGGAATAATTATTTACCCCACAGTGGGGTTTATTCGTATTTTATCATACGGCCTTTATCTCAGGTAGATACAAGAGAAATAATTGCTAGCAACAACAGCAGCAGATCTGATATAAGTAAATTGAGTGGGATGTAGTGTCCCCTCCGCAAGACTGTAGCTCTTCAGAGAGCACACCTCTCAACACGAGTACAGAGACAAGATTAGACATATGGTCTTCATGATCTCTTCTCCAGGCTTGTAGTTTTATTGCATGGTGTCTGTGCCTGTCAGGAATTCAAGCCAGCCTTACAAATCATTCATAGTAAGTCATATTCCC